TTTGATAGCAGAGCTACTTCAAATTTTTTTTTTCCCCTAACACTTTACGAATTTTTTTTTTTTTACATTGTGTGCAAATGTGTTTTTTTTTTTATAATTCATGTTACTTTATATCTTGTTGATATTACAAATATTATTATTATTTTAATTGTGTCATCATAAGGAAAGTTTTGCAAAGAATAATTTCAAAATTTTTTGATGTTAGTTAAACTTTTTCGGCGAGGGGGGATCTAACATAAAAAGCTTATATTAATCTTTTTATGTTAGTTTCTTCGTTATAACACAACTCCTAATTTATTACTAATTAATTATTCAAGTCGAACTGCTTTCTCACACTTTTAAAAGCCACATCCTGTTTCCAAATCTATTTTTAGCCAAAGTATGCATAAATTTAAATAAAAACATTCTTCCCCTTTAAACTACGTCGGAATCACTTGAGCTAGTTTTTAAACCAATAGTAATCCTTGGGACTTCCCTTTTCCCCTCAAATGTAACAAAATAGAGGGAAATTCCTTTGCTACTTTCCCTAAGATAAAAATTAAGCACACAGTTTTGAAGTGCGAATTTGAGCTCCGCCTTTGCTAAAAAATGTCTTAAATATACTATGTAGAGCTAATAAAATATTTTTTGCCTTCCAACTGCTATCTGCATTGCCTAACAACACTCACCATGACTGCTACCCTTTCATATATACACGAATTATTCAATTAGAATGCGTTTTACATAGACGGGATTAGTAAAATATGGAAAATTTTGATGGACAATTAAACAGTTATACTAGTGTTCTATTGGGTGGCATACTTTTCTGAAGCTTTATACATTAATGAAATAAGACAATACAGTGTTATAAATATATTTTCAAATATTGTTATTTTTCAGACATTCTGAACAGAGCAATTTGGCAGTGAAAAATCAAGTTCAAAAATTGATTTAGATTTTAAATTGTTATCTTTTCTCATAGCAAAAATATGTCAGGAGAAGACAAATAAGTATTAGCTCAGAATAAATACTTCTAAAAGAATCTATTCAATCATTTACATAAAAATATATTGCGTTGCTCATTATTTCAAATTTAAACCTTTTGTTTGTGGGGCAGAAAAAAACAAGTTTCCAATATTCCTACTGTTTCTCAGCTACAGTTTTATCCTTTTTTACTAAGGAAACACACTTAAAACATTTAATTTAGTCTAAATAAGTATTTACTCTGTTATTGTTTTGCAAATCAGTCTGTTCATCAACCACTTTCTGCTTCTTCAAAAAGTTCTTTTTTTCCAGAAATTTTCTAAGTTATTTGGAAGTTCCTAAGTTAAAACATTAAGCTTCAATTAAACAAAATTGTTATTCTATGTTTATTAAGACTAAACGGAAAGCAGATTGCCACTCAGGAGATTTGATTTTATGCACTATATAAGAAAATTTTATGCATTTCAAAGTAATACCTTGAAATATTACTTAGTAATAATAAACGTGTAGTGTTGCTATCAATTTATATGAAAGAATTATTTAGAGCAAAAAAGTCTCACATTCAGGCAGTTCTTCATATAGATGTAATCCTGCAGGAACTTCACGAGCCATATGGAATACAAAGTCTTGATTAGGAAAAAGGCTTGAGGTTAACTGAAATATAAACAAAAGGGATTTTTATAACAATTGGAATAAAAGTATTTAATAGAAATCAGAAAACAAATTATGTATTTACAGTACAAAATCCCATATTCAGACGTTTGTTTTTGGAAAACGTTGCGGCGATGCCCCGCTCCTACATTTTCATCTTACCTAATGCGAAAGGGCACTTGCACTTCAACTTGGAGTGACGCATTTAAAAACCAGTTTTCCGCCAGTAACCAGGCTACTCCCATTTTTCCTCGTGCACTAGTACGTGATGCACGGCTCTCCGATAACTTTAATGTCATTCAGTTTTAGCTGTATTTATTTGTGATTTTAATAATGTTCAAATTAAATTTATTCCTTAAGTTTTAGTTGGTAATCTGTTCCTTTTAATGCTTGGAAAAACATGATTTACCACACTGATGACCCGGACGTGATTTGAACAGGCAACCTTCTGATCTGGAAGCAGACTTAAACTGCACGAGTGCAGAACTGGTCTACGGTGCCCCTCTCCGCCTTCCTGGAGAATTCTTCGAGGCCTCCACTACTGACGTGCAGCCTCATGAATTTCTGATGAGGATGCGTGAGACAATGCAGACTTTGAAGCCAAAACCAACGTCTTCACACTCTAAACAGTCCATCTTTGTACACCCATCTTTACCAAAATGCTCTCATGTTTTCATACGAGTCGATGGTGTAAAGAAAGCATTGCAACATCCTTACGACGGTCCATTCAAGGTTTTGAAGCGTAGCGGAAAAACCTTCACCATTGAAATGAAGGGTCGGCAAGCCGTAATTGGCATCGACCGCCTAAAACCTGCATTCCTGGATGATGAGGAGTTGCAGACTACTGCTCCAACCCCGGAGCAGAACGAACCTAGAGCTGCCCAGCATCCGGCTCCAGAGTTGGCTCGACCGGGGATCACGACTCGTTCCGGCCGCCGGGTGCATTTCAACACTCGTTGCTATTGATGTCGGTCTCCTGGACACTTGGGGGGGAGTACTGCGGCGATGCCCTGCTCCTACATTTTCATCTTACCTAATGCGAAAGGGCACTTGCACTTCAACTTGGAGTGACACATTTAAAAACCAGTTTTCCGCCAGCAACCAGGCTACTCCCATTTTTCCTCGTGCACTAGTATGTGATGCACGGCTCTCCGATAACTTTAATGTCATTCAGTTTTAGCTGTATTTATTTGTGATTTTAATAATGTTCAAATTAAATTTATTCCTTAAGTTTTAGTTGGTAATCTGTTCCTTTTAATGCTTGGAAAAACATGATTTACCACAACGTCTACCTTTTTGGCAATAAAAGAAAAAACAAACTTCTTTTTATGCCACCCCCCCCCCCCAAATTTTTTTTCTCTTTAATGTTTGTGATCTGCTGAAAAATCTAAAACAAAGATTATGCACAGGCAATATATTTTTCTTGATAAGATTCCAGACTACAAAAATTTATTTGCTGAATCCCCACTATTCCACTGTAGTCTTATTTATTTTCCATTATACAATATGGCAAAAATGAATGACATATAAGACTTGTTAGGTTTCCGATGTAACCCCACACAACCTCAAATATAGATGGAAACTGACGTTATTTGGTTGACGAAGTATGTGTATGTTTTCCATTTGTTCTATCATTTATAAAATGTTTTTGAAAATAAATTAAAATGCCTGCTACATTATATGATGTGCTCTGTTTCTCCATCCAACAAAAATGTTTTTTAAATTTTACAATAATACTGCTTTCTGACTTATAATCTTGTTACAAACCATATGTTGGAAAAAGAATTTCCTTTTTGAAATTCTTTTCCTTTTGAATAATTGGTTGTTAAAAAGCCTTAATTATAAGTTCAGTTCATAATGTGCAGTTAAATGAAAAGCATTTTAATTGATATTTGAAAATTTTTTCCAATATTCCAATAATAATAATAGGCCTGCTGTAAGTTATCAGGTAATGCATGAGGGGTCAGTTAATAATAAGAACAAATTCCCAACAGCAAAGCATAGCTCTTTTCCCCCCATAAAAATTTGAATAACATGTCCTTGTGGATATTTTATCCCAATAAAATATCAATGATTCATGACTACAAAAGTTTGGAAGAAATTACTTAAAATGCAAAAGATTTTATGTGACTTTCATTTCATAATTCAAAGAACGAACATTCCTTCATAAAATTTTAACACAATTAAAAATAAATATGATTTTTTAAGCCAGATGCTTAACACCTTATATTTTGCATTGTCTGGCATGAGAGCCCATCCTCACACACATGTGCATACTACAAAATTTTAAGTTTTTAAAATCTAAAGGGGTAGTTTAGAAAGAAAGGCAGAGAAAACAAGACAAAACATATGTGAAGCAGCATAAATATTTCATTTTGATGGCATTATATTTTCCAATAACCCATTAAAGAGCTGCTCAGGGGATAGAGTGTTCGTCTTCCAATGAGGTGAGCCGGGTTCGAATCCCAGTCGATACGAATTCTGATCCGGCCTGCACCGACCACAGTGCTGACGTGAAATATCTTCAGTGGTAGACGGATCATGGGTTAGAGTTCCCTTGATGTCAGGCTAACTGTGGGAGATTCTCATGGTATTCCTCTCCATGTAACGCAAATGCGGGTTAGTTCTATCAAAACGTGCTCCACTAAGGCAAATTTCTCCCAATACTTGAGTTCCCTCGTCTTCTGGATTGGGTTCAAAATTACAAGGCTATAAAGTTGAACATTAGTAATTGTAAACTCAAAAAATTGGGTAGACTCTTCAACGACGGTTATAAAATAAAATAACCCTTCCAAGGACAATTTTTTCCTAGTCATGTTTCGTCCAAATATTACTAGGATTATGTATTAAAATAAATTTATTTATTTTTACCTAAAATTAATTAGATTCTCAAGAAATTTTTTTTTTTGGCAGGAAAGTGGGTAGGATATTAATTTTACCCACTGCAAACAATTGGCCATGAACTTGAACTTATAAATTATCAAATTTGTGAGTTTTATGTTTATAAATGCAAAAAGCCGGCCAGATGGTCCAGTGGTCAGCACGCCTGACTGCGAAGTCAATGGCTGCTCAGGGCATGGATGTTTCTCTCAGTGTGCTGTTCTCTATTGCGTGATGCGTAAATGTGGCCCACCCTATAAACGGATATCTGTGCAGTGTGGCGCGGGTAACATTGCTCGCCACTGCGACTTAGGTTCACAGGTGCCCACTGGGTACCGTTAAATGAGTAACACTTCCGGCATCTTCCTGGGTGAAGAACGTAGAAAGTTCAGTGCCCGCTGTTAGGAATAAATGCAAAAAAACTAAGAGAATTGATCAAAAATGAATACCTTTGATATACAGTTTCTTAAATCCAGCAGTATTTTTCTCTTGTCGATAGCTAAATCAATGTAGGGTATTTCCCCTGGTTTTGGTTCCAACACACCATTAGAGCATATGTAATTGTTTCCTAAGTGCACTTGGAGGTTCACCATGTTCAAAGCAGTCTCATATTCTTCTCTACAATTAACACAATTCTTACACAAACATTGAAAGCAAAAATAATTACTTTATTTTTCGCAGTAAGGAAAAATTATTAACTAGGCATAAAGCAGTTTCGAAAAAAAAGCTGAATTTTGTGCAGTAACAAAAAACTTCTGAAACATACTTCCTCAAATTAAACAAAAGGTTTTGTAGCGGTTTAAAATAAAAATCAGGACAAAATCAGCAAAATATTTGGTACAATTACAACATATTAGACAAGTTTTAAAAAGGGGAAAACAAAGAGAACAAAATATTGTAATCCACTGCTAAAAAAACTTTTTTAATGATTTGGCGACTCATTTGGCAAGCTCGTCGAATCAAATTACCATACAACAGTTAATAAAGCGTCTATTAAAATGTAATTTAAGACAATAATTATCAGAAAACAAAAATTAAAATGAAATTTAGATTAATATCAAGCTATATAAATAACAGTTCGGTTTTTATAAAAAAAAACCCAACACAAACAGTAACAAATATGAAGTACCTGTTACGGGATAGTTATAATTTTGTAAAACAAACTAGAAAAACCTGTAAAGGGTTATAAGAAAACTCAAACTCCAAAACAAAACTAAACTCTGTTGTTCTAAAAAATGTCTTCTAAATTTATCATCTGCTTTTATCTCTTTATGTGTTTATCTTATTCATGCTTATGCTAGCCCATTATTTTTTTATATTTTTAGACTATTCTAAATCCTGTTTAGAGGCACACATAGACTTAATTGGGAATGACATTTCCAAATTTGTCCTATTATTAGTTTACCCTGTATACATATTCTACCCTAGATTCTAAAATTTCGTTCTAGCAAAAATTAATGAATGAAATTGTCATTTCATAATGTTATTCATGAATATGGAAGCAAAAAACTGGGTATAATTAATTGATAAGATTGTTTAATCACTTTTGTACAAATGTGCTTAAAAGAGGACTTGATTTGTCCTCTTTTAAGCACATAATATTTTAAAATTGTTAAATTAATAAAAGAGCGGAATTCTGCAGATTTACAGCAAAAAAAAGCATGCCTGCTGCAAATTCCAAGAAATGAATACACTAAATTTAAAATAAAATAAAAATATCATGTAAAATTAGTCCGCAGAAATTGAACAAGTGAATTAGATTAAAGGGAAATAATTACCTCATTTTTTCAAGCTCTGCATTTTCTTCTTCGGCTAATTTAAGAAGTTTTTCTGACATTTTATATCTTGGGTTACCCTTAGCTAAAAAAGATTTAAATATGAGATATATTTAGAAAAGTAAAATACAGAGGGGAAAAAAAACAGCAAGAAAATTGAACTTAAAATTGAGGGGAAAAAAATAGAAAATTACAAAATATTTTTATCAAAACTTCTGATTATTAAATTTTTTTTAAAAAGTTTAATTACTGAAAATGACTAAAAAAATAAATATGCTACATAGTTAGAAAGCAATATAAAATTTTTATAAATACTACGCCCCCCTCTAAACTATATGGAGGTATTTAAATTTTTCACCTCATTATACATATATAACAAGAAAATTGACTAGAACCTAAAATAGCTACAGTCCCCTCTAATGGTATTGTTCTGTCCATTTTATTGATTTTCTAACAATTCTATGACCATCATGCAGATTTCTGATTGTTAACTTTGTCATCTAGCTGCAAAAAATTCATATCCTTGATGACATTAGGGTGGAATTCAGTTACATTTCAGCAATTACGATGGCTCACTTATACCAATCAGAAACCTGTATTTTTGTAAAATATGGCATTTTGCGATATGTAAAATACAGGCTTTTCATGGGCCAAATTTGTCCATCGTAATTGCAAAAATTCAGCTGAATTCCACCCTATAATGCGAAGGATATACGAAATATGGATTCTTAAGTTCATTTGATAGATTAATAAAGAAGCTAACATAAAACAGATGGATTTTTCACCATACTGAAATTTCGTTTAAAAAAAGTTCATTAAAGAGGGAAACCTAAAATAAACTTTTAATTCGATTTGGGGCTCCCCCTTTGACGTGGGGACTGGGGGCAACTTGCCCTTCCTTTGTCAGGCTCTGCTTGCTGGAGTTTAAAACTTCTCTGATTACAATTAAAAAATATCACTAAACAATCACCTTTGTTTTCCTTGTGGAGATTTTATGGATCACATGTTTAGTTTTGAAATAAGGAATCATATTATAATCAGAACATACATTTTCAGGTAACTGTTACATAATATACAAAATATTTTACATATAGGGAATTTGTAGGGATTTTTTAAACTGATTAGTATAGTAGTGCTTTATTATGTATAAATAATATTTGTTTGAATATTGAAATAAATTTTGCTTAGCTGCCAACATGGATAGGAAAAAATGCAGTAGATTTTATGAAATATAAATTTCATGATCGCAAAATGTATTTCACACAGTCATCACAATAAAAAAACTACAATACTTTACAGTTATGATTGACACTAAATGAAATTGAGAAATATTATGTTTACTTATAATTTTGAATAGTAATAGACATTTAATTCATCAAAGATAGTTAAAAGATTATTTAATTAATTTAAAAAGCAAGCTTTGAATAAAAATAAAATGAACATTTTTGAACGAAAAAAAAAACCGTTTTAAATCAATTTTATTAAATAGGATTTGCTTTGTTATTAGAACTGGGCTATAAATCGATGTATCGTGACATATTGATTTAACGCATATATCGGCAAGCCAATACAGCTACTTTCGTTCCAGGCGATTTATCAGAAATCTGATTTAAGCCGTCGAGTGCAAAACAATGTACCAACTAAAGACACGCAAGGATTTTCTCTTAACGTTCCAATGCCGACTCGCGCTGTGGAAAACTATGTTCGCTTCGTTATGTTGAAATGGCCTTGATTGATGAGAGGTAGAATCAGAACCTGAGTTTTGAGAACATATATCGTGATCTCGCAAGTTCGTTTTCGCACATCTTAGTTTTTTTCTTTGTCGCGACTTGATTGTAGAATATTTTCAGTGGAACTAACTTCGTGATTGTCGCCGCTACCTTGTTCTAAACGCAATCTATTATTGAAAAGAATAAAGAAGAGTTTCTTCATTAATTAGGAAAGTTTTATTTTTATTAAGTTCTTTAAAACTTCTTTTTTAATTTTCAAATGTGAAAATTATCGGAAATCTAATTTAAAGCACTCATAAAGAATTAAATTACGAAGTTATTAAATTTGTTAGGTTATTTTTTTTTACTTTCTTTTAATTTATTAAAAACTTTTTGGATAAACTTCTAATAATTTAATGGGTTTTTATTACTGATTTTAAATTTATAAGTCTTGAGTTGTTTTTATTTTTAGCATAAAGACTGATGATACAAAAACATATTAGAAGTTATGAGGAAAACAGAAAAGAAATTACATAAAGAAAAGAAAAGAACATATCTAGAGGAATTTCTAAAACTTCTAGAAAACCGGAATAACCAAAAAGAATGTAGGAGGTTCTATAAACTAGTAAATAATATGAGAAGAGAATTTAAGCCAAAATCTATCACCTGCAGAAATAAGGATGGAGAACTTGTGAGCGAACTTCATCACGTGCTTAAAGTCTGGAAATGCTACTTTCAAGATCTGCTTGAAGCAAAAAATGAGACTCGCAACTTAGAGAACAGCCCTGAAGAACTGAACCCAGTTCAACACGTAGACATCTCCCCACCATCTCTAGATGAGGTTGTCCTAGCTATTAAAAAACTCAACAACAATAGGTCGGCTGGTCCCGACTGTATACCATCTGAGCTACTAAAATCTCAAGAACTAGAGCTTCTTAACGCCATCTACAATATCATGGTTAAAATTTGGGATACGGAGAAATTGCCCATTGAATAGGAAGGCCATATTTAAGAAAGGAGACCAAATCAAATGTCGTAACTATGGGGGCATTACACTCCTCAATACGGCATATAAAATATTCTCCCAACTTTTTTTTTACAAGACTTCTTCCCTTTACCTTCAAAATAACTGGAGACTACCAATGTGGTTTTAGATCACAAAGATTTACTGTAGATCAAATTCACATCCTAAAACAAATTTCAGAAAAATCTAAGGAATATAATATCAAAACTTTTCATTTATTTATAGATTTTAAAGCTGTTTACGACAGCATAAAGAGAGATAAACTACTGGAAGCAATGGCCGAATTTGGGATCCCTACTAAACTCATTAACTTAACCAGGACTTCACTAAGTAATATAAGATGCAGGGTTAAAATTCAAAATCAATTATCGGAACCATTTTCAACAGAGAGAGGCCTGCGTCAGGGGGATTCCCTCGCCTGTCTACTCCTTAATCTAGCTCTGGAGAAATGCATCAGAGATAGTGGATTAGACCAAAAAGGCACCCTTTGGAATAGATCAGTTCAATTACTGGCATAGGCCGATGACACCGATGTCATAGGAAGGTCAGAGAGAGAGAGAGAGAGCAGTGAGAGAGGCCTTTCTGGCTCTTGAAACTTCTGCCACAAATATGGGCCTTACCATCAATGAAGATAAAACTAAATTTATGGAATCTCCAGCTGTAAATCATGACCCTTTATTCATAAATGGTTACACCTTTGAAAAGGTTAATGAATTCAAATACCTTGGAACAATGATCAATGGCCAAAACAGCATAAAAATAGAAGTAGACAACCAAATTAAAATGGCAAATAAGTGCTTCTTTGGACTAAGAAAGCAATTAAGATCAAGCCTAATCAGTCGAAAAACCAAAATTAAAATTGATAAGAATCTTATTCTACCTGTATTGCTCTATGCAAGTGAAACATGGACACTAAATGCAGGCACTCAGCGTACTCTTGGTGTTTTTGAAAGAAAAATCCTTAGAAATATTTTTGGTCCAGTACAGGAAAGAGGCTGTTGGCGAATCAGATACAACTTTGAATTATATAGACTCTATGGAAAGCCACAAATAGTGCAGGTCATCCAAAGCAATAGATTAAGATGGCTTGGCCATATCTGGAGAGGTCCAGCAAACAATGCAGTACGAATCGCCTCCTTTAAAAATCCTTCTGGATCTCGGGCCAGAGGAAGACCTCCAACTAGATGGCTGGATGACACTACTAAAGATCTCGGGCTGTCGTGCTGAAGAAGAAATCGTGATCTCGCATGTTCGTTTTCGCACATCTTAATTTTTTTCTTTGTCGCGACTTGATTGTAGAATATTTTCAGTGGGACTAACTTCGTGAACGCCGCCGCTACCATGTTCTGAACGCAATCTATTATTGAATATATATAAAGAAGAGTTTCTTCATTAATAAGGAAAGCTTTTTTTATTAAGTTTTTTAAAACTTTTTTTTAATTTTTAAATGTGAAAATTATCAGAAATCTAATTTAAAGCACCCATAAAGAATTAAATTATAAAGTTATTAAATTTGTAAGGTTATTTTTTTCCTTACTTTCTTTTAATTTATTAAAAACTTTTTGGATAAACTTCTAATAATTTAATGGGTTTTTATTACTGATTTTAGATTGGGACATAAGTCAGTCAAATTTGTTAATTCAAAAAAATTTGAAAGGTTTGAGAATTTTATTCATTTTTTTAATCATTTAGCACTTCGTTTTATTACAGAGTATGATCATTTTTTTTAAAAATTTTCTTTTAATACTATTAGTTAATTAACTAAATATATTATCCAATATCACAATTCTTTTGTTTTTATTTTTAAGAAATTAAACCTTACTTTTTTATTCGTTCATAACTCGGTCATTATTCAATTTAATTTAATTATTTATGTGAAATAATAATAATAAAAAATAGTGCTTCAAAAGCGTTTTTTTTCCTAAAATTTATTGAGCACTTTGTCTTAAACATACAAATAATTTTTAGCGAACTTATTTTTTAAATTTTCTTTCTTAGGTAAATATATTGATAAATTTCAATTTTATTTATTAAAATTAATAAATCTTTTGTTATTTTCGAGATCATTTTTAGAAAGTATAACAAAACCTGCGTTTACTTTTTCATTTAGTATTTGAAGATTACGATCGAACTTAATAATTATGTCATTATTTATGCATAATAATACACGAAAATATTGATTTGTAGAAAGCGCTTTCTGTTTAAAAAAAAAAAAATTAACACTTTTTTTTAAGTGTATAATGAATTTCTTAACAAACTTTTTTTTTTTAATTTTCTAAATTTTCTTTCAATAATTTTAACTAGATATATTTATAAAATTCCCTTTTTATTTTTAAACTGAGAAATCTTCAAGGAGCGAAAATTTTAAGAAATTATAACAAAACTTATGTTTACTTTTTAGCTTAAAATTCGAACATTGCACTAGTCAAATGAACTTAATGACTTAAGTGAAATAATAATAGTAAAAAAAAAAAAAAATTATTGATGTTTCAAAAGCATCAGAGAGTTTTTAGTACTGGGGGCAATGTCGTTCGAAAAAACAGCATTTTATCACCTAAACATTCGGAAATGCTGATATTTTTATTTCAAAATAAAAATTTCATATGAAGTTTCAATTTTGCTACTTATCAAAGTTATTTTTGGCTCATTTAATGAAATTATTTTTTTATGGCTTTAAACTTTTTTTCTTCTTCAAAATTTATTCACTTAAACTAATTGATTTCCAAATATAATTCATAAACCTATAATTTTAAACTTTCCTTGATTTCTAATTAAAAGCTTAGTAAAGTACCTAACTTAAATTAAGACTGCTCATACCTTATAAACGATAAAGAGGTGCAAATATTTCATTCTGTATCTACACACATTTTTTCAATAAATATTTTAAGTAAGATTTATACATTGTAGTCAATTTATTTAATATCTTTCTTAAGCAAAACATATATATCTTCAAATTAAATAATTGATTTAAATCAATCTGAGTACTGAGTTTTGATAGAAATCTGACTTTCTGTGCCTTACAAGCAAATGAAATTAAAAAATACTATATTGCGATACATCATGATACATAATTTCTAATATAGCTCAGTCCTATTCATTATGTATTACATCACATGTTGCAACATGTAAGCACTTATTTAAGTATTCAAGCAAGCAATAATCCGCACAAAAATTCTATTTCAATAGGGAGTTTTTTAAGGAGACTTACTCAATTTTAGGGAATTTTCTAAAATATACCAAAACTAGGAGAATTTTTATTAAACCAGGCAAAATCCAGTAATCTACTGGTAAATATGTATAATGGATGTATAGTAATAAAAAAAAAAAAGCAGTGTTGAATACCTTCTTCTGTCCTCAGTAAGGATTTTCTTCTATAGAATAACATGTAAGCACTTTCTTTACCAGCAAATTGTTTTTCTATATCTTTTACACTAATAGGACTTACTCTGGAATCATTAAAGTCAAACCAATTATGATGGGTGAAGGGAGATGTGGATGGAACCAGCCTTCAAAAAAGAAATTCATCTTAAAAGTATGCCAAATTTTTGAACAAAAAATAAGCATCTCTTAGTAACTCAAAAAATATTCTTAACCACTTCATTTTTAAAAAAAAGTAAATGGCGATATTTCCGTATCATGATCTGCCACCCTAACTACGATCGCCAAGGTGCTTAACAGATTTTAAACTTGCAAATTTTTTTTTATAATAAAAGCAAAACACGTAGATGTTTGCCTGAAGGTGGCTACGATTCGAGTTGGTCCCTTTCTGTGATGTTTTTTTTTTTTCTCTCAGNTTTTTTTTTTTTTTTTTTTTTTTAGTTTCACGTGAGACACTGCCCAGAAGTTGCCAAGACTTGGCGATTCCTAAGCCACAGATCACAATACGAAAATCTCCCCCCAAATATAATTTTTAAGATATACGCACTAATAAAAAAATTTCTTCTTCTAACTGAAAGTTCATATGTATGTATGTAGTAGCTGTGCGAATTGCGTAATCTTTCATCGTCGAAACCAATAACTTCTTCATTGAAAGGTGCCAGACTGTCCACAACAGAAAAGTCCCAGAATACATGGAGCCAGAGTATCTGAACGAGAAAAGTCCTGAATTAATAGCTAACTTTCTCCTTAGAAATATCTAAATATAGAGCCTGTCTTTGTCCTGCAACGCTGTACGCAGGCAGCTCTCTGCTATTGGTGTCTTTGTTAAACTTATTTTCCCTCCTTATTAAATTTTTTACGCTTAATTCTTAAAATAATTATTGTCTTTTTTTCTCCCTTGCTCCACAAATCACTACATAGATACATATATAAACTTTCAATAATAGAAAGAAATTTTTTTTATTAGTGAACATATCCTCCTAATAATATTATTATTGTGGTTGAATGAATTATGAAAACATTGAATAGAAAAGTGTGAAAACAATGCTTTTGGCATAATTCGTGACAAAAACCGACATAAAAAAAGTATCTCATTTCAGAAAAGGGAACATAAAGGACTTTTTAAAGACACCCAATGAAAAAAGCACATTTAAGGGCTTTTAAAAAATTAAAATAAGCACCTTTAAGTACTTTTTAAAACTTCTAGGCATTTTTTATTTATTTTAACCTTAGAATATTGATTGCTTTCTCTCAAAAATTTGAATAATTTAAAAAGGAAACTTATTGAAGTCTAAATTTTTTTTGAAAAAAAGAAAATTTAAACTTCAGTCAAACTACGCTATAGTGAACCGTCTGAGAACCCACAATATGTCCACTATTAACGAAGGTTTGAAAGCTTTAAACTTATTGTACTGTTCAGCACAGGCTATAGTAAAAAAAGTAATGAAAAAAATTACTAACTTTTTTTAATAATTGATAAATAGTAACTTAATAAAAACAGTGATGATATCCAGCCAGCAACCTAATAATCTTAAAAATATACCAGTTAAAGAAAAAAATTTTTTTAGAAACATTTACTGCTGTAGAAATCAAATATAACTAGTGATTACATTTTAATTAACTGCTATTAAAAAAATTATACAATTAATGTTTGCTAATTTATATTAACTAAAATACTGCTATAACATATGACATTAGAGAAGCTATACAACAAAAATATTATTGCTATCACGCTAAATCAATGCATATTTATTAATTGCTGTCATTTATTATTGCTTTTTCTTTAAAAATAGAATGTGGTGAGCAGAAGAAACCTTAAATAACTATTAATCTTCGCTAAAAAAAGGAAAGAAAAAAAATAGCAGTAAATAACGAAGCTTTACTATAGAATTGTAGTGAAATGAGTATGTCAAAAATTTATTACTAAAATACGAAATAATAGTATCGTGTTGAAAGCATCAAAATTAAAAAATGTGTGGAACTGGCAAAAAAAATGACAAATAACTGGTAAAAAAAAAAAAATTATAATAATAAACCATGTCGATTTACAATAGGGTGCAGAGCCAAATCTTCCAATAAAAAATAAGCACCTTGTAAGCACTTTAAAAGCACTCAAAATTTATTTTTAAGCACTATATACGTTAACAAAATGCAAAATAATTTTCAAAGATTTTACATGATCATGATAAAATAACTAGTATCTGACAAAGAACTCTATTCTTGATTATATTAGCCATTATAAAATGACTGAGAGACTTTTTGGTTTGAGATCAGAGGGTGGTAAATGAAGCCTGAAATTGAGAATATCTTGCAAAATGCAGAGTTGCACAAGAGTGTGTAATAATTTCACCGAACCCCGCTCAGTACACACACATGTGTAAACGCAAGTATTTCATGAAACATGTAAAATGATTGGCGCTTTCATATGAACTGTAATAAGTAAATCTAAAAAAACAGAAGTGCTTTAAAAATGCTAAAAACTGCCTGTAAACTGTTGGCAATGAGCATATTTTTATTTAAATCCCACCCCTTATTTTAAATCCAGTAATTCTCTCTGTTAATATTTATTTAATTCAATATAATAAATTCAATACAATATTTAATTAGATAAACCTACGTACAGTATTTCTTAAGTTCTTGCCTAAACTGACGTAGAAAGTATAATAACTTATTTTAACGATGTTTATCTATCTCAGGTTACTAAATAAATAGCCCTGTGGCAGAATTTTTCGAGCTTTCTGCAGCAAAACTCTCTAGCACTGTCTTTCTGGAAGATACTTTTAATAATAACAAACATATATCTTATAATTTAAAATAACAAAAGCATTACATTAGCTACAAAGCCAAAGAGACGTATAAAACTAAAAGAGTCTCTTCTATTATTGTAGAATATGTAATAGAAAACAAAATAGGCAAAAATTTTTCAATGGCCTTTGTTTTTACAATTGATCAGTGACTTCAACCAGGCAAGATATTACTGGCATTAAATTGCTGTGCTATGGCCATGGAAGATTATAGAAGTATGCATCTTAAAACGAAAATAAATAGATTATTTTTTTTAAATTAAAAGAGCTGTTTAAAATGATCTTAATCCCCTTTAATCCATTGTACCTTATTCTTTCATTAGAAACATTAAATTAACAAATAGTGAAAATAAAACTGGTTTTATTTAAACTCAACAAGGTAAGAATATATCATTATTTTTCTTAAAACAGGTAACAACATTATTTATTTTAAAAATATAACACAATTTTACGACAGTGTAAAATAAACATTTAGGAATATTATTTTTTATAGAATAAAATAGCTCTCTTTTCACAATATAAATATACATTAAAAGCAACATCAATGCAAGCAGCAATGCGTAAGTATATAAATGCAAATTATATAAATGATAGCATATATTCATAGTTAAATGCAATAACATCAACAACAGAGTTGACAAATTCAATAAATTTAAATTTTCTTAAAATTTCTGGAAATACACGAAACTTAAAAAATTATAAAAATGACATTCCATTATAACTTTTTAAAAAAAAGGTTTCAAGCTTAATCAAAATCCTAACCTAAAAAAAGAAATTTGGTTGCTTAAATTGATGTAATAATTTTCAACTATTGTTAACCATTAAGGAAATTGATTTGCAACTGTGTGCAATTTGATAATTACAAAAAATAATATTCATACTATTTTTCATACACTACTAGCTTGATGTTGCCAAACTTTTCAGATTAACTAATTTTTTGATGTTAATATTATTTAAGTCTTTCTTTTTTTTTTCACCATCACACCTGCACATAATACCTGAAGCAGAATGAAACTATCCATTTTTTGTTCCTTAAGTATGTAGATGGTAGCACTTTCTTAGAATTTTTACTCATTGAATGTTTTTCTTTTATTTTTCAAGATTTTCAAAAGGGGGTCAGCACCTGATTTATTTCTAAAGCTTACTAAATGATTTGGAAATTTATATTTTATTTTGATTTGGTTAATCTAACTGTAACTTTATTTATTTTTCTCATATGTGGGCGTATCAAAGTCTTAGTCTGTGTACTTTTAAATTGCAATTGTTTGTCATTAATTTTTCTTTGCATTTACATTTCAATTTCTCTAATTGTTTTTCTTATTTGTTTTTCCATCATAAAGCCTCGGGGCATAGGGCCTCTGTTTTTTGGTTTCAACACTGACAACAGAAAGGATCCTCTGTGTTAGCAGGCAGTGTTGTGTTCCCCGATGAAGAGCTAACACACTTTTTGTCTTTTTCTGCTATTGTATTTCTGACTTTCAAGCATCACTCTCATATCAATATGCCAATAGAAATGTTCCTATTCACACACCATTTGCAGTTACCATAAATATCATCACTCATTTCAGGGATTCCGAGAACTATGCCATAACAATATGTTTGAAACACATTTTGACACGACTGCTGCATAAATATTTTATAACTTATGACATATATCAGAGTGAGTACATAAAAAAAAGAAAAGAATGGACATGTCGCGCATCAGCCACAGATTTCAGAGGCACAGCTTAATATATATGAATGAAATGAAATAAAAGAATTTTTTTTTAAAGAAAGTAAAAACATCTCTATGCAATAAAATAAATTACTTAAAGAAATAATGAGAAGAAAAAAACATTGTAACAGATAAAACTTTGAAGTTATTCATTTAAGAAAAAAAAAATGATGTAGCAACAGCCATAAATTGTTTATTTATGAAATTAATTATATGATAACAGCCATAAAGCTTGTTGCAAACTCTTTAAATGTAAGAGAAACCAATACTTACAGCAAGCATTCTAAGCGAACCTGCCATTTATTAGCTGCTGTCACTAAGCACAACATCATGTAAAAGGTAGAAAAAATAATATTTATTTACTTTTTTTTATCAAAATATTTAAACCTCAGGGAGTTCATGACCGCATACTTTTTGGTTTCCTTTGGACTGTCCAGAATGTTGTCCGCACTACTTGCTGCATCCATTGGCATTGGACTGTCAAAAGTATCTGCTTTGAGGAATACAGTATTGGATCCAGTATCGTAGTGAAACACTTCACTGCGCTTCTGTACAAACTAGAAGGAAACAAGTATTCAAATGAGATGCAAAGACTAGGTTAGGTACTCTATTTACGTCGTACTAGAGCAGCACAATGGGCTATATTAGACTGGGAAACATCTCCGAATGGATGATCCGAAGACACATGCCACAGTGGTGATTGTGAGCCCAACTCAAAAATCCTGAGAAATCATGAATGACGCATTTCAAAAAATTAATGTCTTAACAAATTTAAATCATTGATATTTTCAAAACATGAAATTCTAAATAAATTATATGCAGCATAATTTAAATGCATAATTATGGATAAATTTAATTCTATCTCTAATCACATTTATTATTCTATCAAAAAAATAAATAAATATTTACAAATGAAAAATATACCAAGTATAAATTCTAGTTCTAATATTTATAAATAAAATATACAAGAATTTTCATGCGTAAATGTGATAAATGGTTTCTCGAAACTTTTGGATTTCGGATTTCCGGAAACTTCCGGAGCACGGTCGTCTTAACTTCGATCCTCTGTAGAGGGGATTGTTCCCCCGCGTTGGTGGGCTGCAACATACGCGCAGTTTTTTGAATTGCTACAAAATGCCGTTTCTTTTAATATTTATAAAACGAAACTAAAAAATTGTTTTGAAAAAGTTTTAGAAATAATAAAAAATTATAAATAATAATACACTTGAGTTTAAATAAGGAAAAAATTATGAAATAAAAATTATATACAGGCTTATACATGTTATTATTAACATTAATAACATATATAAGCTATTTGTGCTTATGTGAGATTCGTCTACAAACGGCTTTTGATCCGTCCTCTAAATATGTTCTTTCGTCAACTCGATACGTCGTAAGCTCATGGCAAAATGGGCTCAAAATCTTGCAGGAAAAAAAATTCCGAATGGAAGAAAATTAATTTCCGGTTCCGAATTTTATTCCGGTTGTCTGGTTTTCCGGTTTCTGGATAAGAGGTTCTGCACTGTATTTTAATTTAATGTTAAAAACTAAAAGGTGAAATAAACACTTTCCCTTTTATTTTGAACTGTAGATTCTGATTTAAAATACACATCTATAGTAGATTGCTTTTGCCAATAGACTGTAGAATGAACGTCAGGAAAAGTAATATGGATGCATAATCATAATTGTATAGTTTTGGCATCGTTTTTGGCAGGATTCTTAAAAATACGAGAAAATGTTTCATCTGTAAGGATGAGGATAACTTTGTAAGCATTCAAATAAATGTTGTTGCTCATTTCACTTTATTAGCACTGATATCAGAAATGAATGAAAATTCTTTTCATTTTGCCCATTTGTGCATAATATTGCTATGTGCCCTTGCAGGGTTCCTTGCGTTTTCCCTCCACATATTGTGACACATTCACATATACCAGGATAACGATGGCTAGTTTTAGTTGCTGGAAATAAGGAACAACTAAACATAAAAGAATTAATGCTACAATAAACTTATATAATTCAATATAACTGAGCTATCATCTTTACATATCTTGAAAAACAAAAATACAAATATCAATACATGATTTTTAGATTATTTTAATACAACTAGAGACATTGGATTTCAATTCCAAGAGAATACAAATCGTGATATTGATTTCAAAAACGTGTAAATAAAAATTTCGATGTTAGATTTTTAAATTCCATGAATATGAATTGAGATGCAAGATTTTTAAATCGCCTGAATTCGATTCATTATGAATGATTTAAATCAGGTAATACAGAAATCGATGTTGAATATTAAAATCGTGTGAATATGAATTGTGATATTAGCGGATTCCGGCGCAGTTTCAAATATTAAAAAACTGAGCAACATTTTTCACGGTTTTCTGGCTACCAGATAAATGGTTCTGCACTGTAATATAAATAAATAGATTTTAGACATATTTACTTTGCATCTCATTGTTATTGTCAATGGTGAAATTAGTTATTTTCCAGAATTGGAGTAAGCTTTTGGTCAAAATTCCAATTTTACACCCAAAAATCAAGTTTCCCCAAATGTTTCTTTGATCTCTTGGGAAGTATGATTAGGCCACACCTCCTGGGAGCCTAGGGTCAAGGAAAGGGGTCAAACTTGGTGTCATAAGATGGGTTTTTCCAAATATTAAACAAAATTATTTTTGTTTATTCAGTCTGACACATGTTTTTCCCAATATCTCAGATTTAAACTATTTGTATGCTATCTTCATTTTTCAGTCCCTTTTATGAAAAGAATAAAAAGGCAACTACTTACAAGTCAAATCAAAATATTTTCCCCCCTGGAGAACCTAAATCTGCAATGAAAAATTAAGATTTTGGGGATTTAAGATTAACTTGGAGGGTCCAGTTTGATAACTTTGAATGCACATGCGGAAAGTTTTTCAAACATATGGTTTCAGGTTTTATGTGCATTCCTTAAAATACTTGAACATTTCCACACATTTCGGACTTTCTGAAGAGCAAGAATAATTCAAATCAAATAAGAGAGAATTGGACATAGCTAAAAATTATATACATAACATTCTGATACAAAAGGAATTAACCTTGATAAAATCAAAAGAGTAAAATGACTAACCTTGGCTATCATACCATGCGTACTTTTATACTTTTTGTTCCAACTCACTCCAGCCTGTTTAGTTATTTCCTGAAAAAATAAAAATCAGAGTTAAATAATAGATCCTATTCACATACATCACTATACCCCGTGGCAGAATAGCGGCGACATTGGCACAGAACGTAACTGAGTTCTTGCAGAAGGATTTTTCCTTTGAGAAATAAAAAATTTTACTTTTCTTTTCTGCAGAAATTTTCGAAAGATTTTAATTTTTTCTTCAGAATTACATTCAAAAGATGCCTTTCTCGTGCATTGCAGTGGGGGGAAAAATGTGATTTTGTCTATATTTTTTTCGGCAGTTACTACTATAGATTATACGATATTTATTTATTTATTTTTTTGATGTGATGATGAATTATAAAATGCAAAAATGGAAATAATTAGTGTATTATCTAAAAAGGAAAATAATTAGTGTGTTGTCTTCCTACAAAATGCAAGAATATCGCCCATAATATTAGAATAAAAAAAATCAAAGATTTAATTTAAAAAATATTTTATTTGATCCAATTTTTATTGAAGTTATAGTTTTTTTTGAAGTCTATATATTTGTTATTGTTAAATATCATGCAGAAAGATATTAGTATTAGAGGTGTGTAGCAGAGAGCACGAAAAAATTCTGCCACGGGGCTTCTAAGTAGAATGCTTAAGATTACTTTGATTATCAACAATTTTAAGCAAAAATGCAAAAGAACAGTTAAAAAAAACATATTAATTGATAAAAACATTATTATTCTTACATCTTATTCAACATTAAACTTTGTAATACATAAATTTTTTTACAAAGTTTAAATAATAGATTTTTAAAAAAAAATCTAAAACTGCTATGTCTACAGAAAACACCTCACAATGCATGTGCATTGGAAAAATAATTTTATAGGAAGGGATAAAAAAGTATTTATTAAAAAAAAATCCTTAATATAAAATAAGATCCAAAAAATGTTAGCTTTTCCATATTTTTTTACAATTTTTCTTTTATTTCCCCCGACTATTCTTCGAGTTTAAACTGCGTGGTTATGTATCGTTTAAATACTAATTAAATAGATGAGCATGATCTAACATCACAACGAACGTATTTAATGATAACCTGACAAGTTACCGAAATTAACAAAAACAGTTAATGCAAAGTTACAGTTAACCTAGCTGAGGCCACATAAATCCCTTTATTTTTCCAGGTTCCCTATGAGGTGTTTGAATTTTGCCAGCAAGATAAATCTGTTGTACAAAGACCAAATAAATATATTTTGAGCAGGGTTGCCACTCAAAACAAATTCTTTGTGCTTTCCCTGTACATATTATAGACATTATATTAAGAGGAAAAACACTATCACTTGCTGCATTAGGCTAGCTATAATTGCTGAGAAAAAAGGAACAACTGAACATTAGATAATGCTGTAGTAGATGAGATAGTTTAATATAGCTGAAATATCATCCTTAAATATCCCATAGATTGCACTTTGAGTGGTCACCATTTCTTAAAAGACGAAAATAAGAAGCAAAATTCCCTGTTATTTTCCATGTTGAGCATCTGAGTAAAAATAATAGAATGACTTACTCCGCATAGAAATTCAATAGGAAGACAGTGGTCAGGGTTCTCTATTAATATAGATTTTATGAGTGAAACAGGATCTTGATGCACATCATTACTTTCCCTTCCAGATGATGAATCTTCATCCTTTAAAGAGAACAACTCATTATAGCACATCTGTCGGCTCATTTACTATCTATGTAAAAACAGGGTGCGTAGCCAAATCTTTAAACAAAAGATACGCACCTTTTAAGTACTTTTTAAGCACTTAAAAATATTTTTAAACACCATATATATACAAGTTTCTGACAAAAAACAACAACAACTCGTTTCTTGATTATATTATCCCCCATAAAAAGATCGTGAGATTTATCGGTTCGATATCAGAGGTTCGAAAATGAAGCCTGAAATTGAGAATATCTTGCAAAATGCAGCAGAGTTGCACATTAGACTAAAAGAATCTCACCAAATCCAGCTCTGTATTTCATCAAACATGCAAAATGATTGTGAGCCCAACTCAAAAATCCTGAAAATTTCTTCAATGAAATCATTAATTACGTTTTGCAAAAAATTAACGTCTTTATAAATTTAAATGATTGATATTTTCAAAACATGAAATTCTAAACAAAGTATATGCAGCATAATTAAAATTAATAATTATGCATAAGTTTACTTTTATCTCTAATCACATTTATTATTCTACTAGAAAAAATATTTACAAATGAAAGAGATGTCAAGCATAAATTCTAGTTGTAATATTTCTAAATAAAACATAAAATTTTTTTAATACATAAATGTGATCAATAATTTCTTGAAACTTTTGGACTTTGGATTTCCAGGAACTTCCGGATTGCGTTTACCGAAAAATCCGGAAATCTGGATTTTTTCCAGAGCACAATCATCTCTGAATGATTGAGGCTTTCATGTGCTATGGCCCGTTAGTATGCCGAAATGTATTGTGGTTGAATAAATTGTGAAAACATTGAATAGAACAATGTGGAAAACAATGTTATGTATAATATGTAGTAAAGAAAATGTATGAATAATGGTAAAGAAAAGAGTATCACTTTCGAAAAGGGAAAATTAAGCACTTTTTAAAAACACCCAATGAAAAAAGCACCTTTAAGGGCTTTTAAAAAACTAAAATAAAAAATAAGCACCTTTAAGTACTTTTTAAAAACACTACACACCTTGAAAAAATGTTAAAATTATGAAGCATCAAATCCCCAAATAAGTAACATATTTCACTCCGGCTTTCTCTTAGTGAAACAGTCATTTTGAATCAGTTGGGCGAGCAGGGGTGATTGCGTGCCCAACTCAAATATCCTGAACATTTCTTGAGTAAAATCATTCATGACGCATTTCAAAAAAATTTATGACATCATAAATTTAAACCATTTATATTTTAAAAACACGAAATTCTAAATAAATTACATGTAGCATAATTTAAATGAATAATTATGTATAAGTTGACTTTTATTTTTAATTACAGTTATTATTCTCCCAGAAAAAATATTTACAAATGAAACATATGCCAAGGATAAATTCCAGTTGTAATATTTCTAAATAAAATGTAAAAAATTTTTTATACATAAATGTGATCGACAATTACTCGAAACTTCTGGACCTGAGAATTCCGGAAACTTCTGGGTCACGATAAGCAAAAAATCTGGAAATCCGGATTTCTTCCGTAGTACAATCGTCTCCGGGTTAGTTTTCAAGAAAAGTACAAGAAATTAAACTTTAAATTAGGTATCAGGGGTCTGTTTAGAAGAAATTTGGGTCTGTTCACGGACCCTTCACGAAATATCTTTTCATAAAACGGACCTTTCACAAAATATCTTTTCATAAAACGGACCTTTCACAAAATAATTTATCTTTTGATCGGACCCTTCACAAATTTGTTCATCTTCATTATTGTTTTGTAAATTGAATAAACCCTTCCTGGGGGGGGGGGGAGAAAGACAGTTTGAGACAAACTAAGTTTCCCTAAGTTTAAATTCCAAATGTAGCATTCTAATATTAAATCATAATTTTTTTTCTTCTTGTAGACAAATAATTGATCTATTTATATTTATTTATAAAATTAATTAATAGAATATTAAGTAAATAAAAATTAATTTCTGGCAATTTTTTAAATAAAATATTATAAATTTAAGGATTGTTTAAGTTCACTTAATGCGTAACACATTAAAAGCTTATTTTATATTCATAAATTATGAATAGCTTTTTTCTCAATTTTACAAAAACAGGATCTTTCACGAAATGTCTGGACAGACCCCTGGATATATATATAAAAAAAAACATGTTAATAAAGAAGATTTTTTTTGAACTGAGATAAAATCATTTTATTCAAAACTCATAAAGAGAGGGGTTTTTAAAGCAGAGAGAGAAAAAAAAAAAAGAAAAGGAAAATGTTACCCACAGGTGGAAGCCATTTTCCCAAAGAGTCGACATCCCTAATGTAGGCATGGTAGTGTCCACCTGAGCTGCAGCCACTACAAATAAGATAACGATGATAAGATAAATAATAAGATAACAATGATCTAAAAAGTATTAAAAGCAGATTATTGAGTAGCAAAGTAAAGCATTTCCCCAACAGCCTGTTGTGAGCATGCAATAGCATGACTGTGCAATGTGATCACCATTGTGCAAGACGAGCTGATACTCATCTGGTAGCGTATGGGCTCCAAGTGTCCAATAAGAGCTATCCCTACACCCCCGTGGCAGAAAATGCAGCGACGCGGTGACATTGTTGCAGAACGTTACAGAGTTCTTGCTGAAAGATTTTTTTTTTTTTGAAAAGGAAGAAAAAAATTACCTTTATTTTTGAACAGAAATTTAACTGTTATATTTGAATCATGCATTTAGATAATCACTTTTTGAAGCGCTTGATATACGCTGATAGTAGCGTAATTTCTCCTTAGTTTTTAAATGCGATATTAATTTTTTATACAACAGCCTAATCAAGAAACGAAACAAGCATTTGAGGTGTCCGATTCGAGTGATTTTGTCAATATTTTCTTTTTTGTCAAGTACTATTACGGATTTAATGATTTTTTCTCTCATTTGATATGGTGAATGGTGCCTATATGCAGTATTCTATTTCTTACAAAAAATAAAATTTTCCATGCACGGAATTTTTTTGTGTGTCTTAATAAGCATATTTCAGTGAAAATAATACCACATTTTATAAAATTCCTATGCTTGGCATAAAATGGGTTAAGCTAACACGGAGAGGGTAAAATGTAGTACAGTAGAGTCTCGAAAATCCGAGGTAATTGGGGCTGACATTACCTTGGGTTACTAAAAACTCGGATTTTCCGAAAAAGTAGAAAATTTTTAACAACTACAAATTAAATTAAATAAAATGAACATATTACCTTAAAATCCTTTATTCTTTAGTATAATGACTAGAGCCCGGAAGTTCAGGCAAAATGCCCTTTTCTGCCTTTTTTAAACGTTTTCTTCTGAAAATGACTTTTTCTTTCCTTTTGTTCAAAAATGCCTATTTCTGTCTAATTAAAAATTTTTCTGCAAAGCTTTTTGTGCTTTTGACCGAGCATAAACGCAAAATGAAGAAATTTTGAAGTACAGAAATGGTTGACTGTCATCCAATGTATTGTAATGCATTTATAGACAATAGGACTTTATTCCTTTTGTCTTATTAATATTTTCTCTCCGTCTCTTCGTGGCGTCATCTTCGCCCGATGAGCTTTGCAAGGAGAGAGAGAAAGGGAGTGAAAAGATAGGAGTTATTTTTACTTACAGTCAATAGAATTTATTCTTACTTACGGCCCATATAGCATACACCATCGAATAACTCGTATGCTCTCTTATCTACAAAACAAATTCACCATGCTGGTTGAGCACATTGTAGCAGGAGCACGAAAAAGTTTTCTAGTACTAGTTATTTCAAAATGCCTAAATTAAAAGCCTGTACAAGCAAAAAACTGGACAGTTTTGTGAAAGAGTATGGGTCGGATGTGTTTTCTACTGATGGGAGCATTCTGTTTTGTAAGGCATGCGAGAAGTCAGTAAATTTTGAGAAGAAGTATTTTATATCTTAGCACTTGGAGACATCTAAGCATAAAACAGCAAAAGATAAGAAAGATGGGAAAACACCGACTCTGATTCCCACCTGTTTTCAATTATCTTCTCGCAAATCGGAATTTGCAATGGATTTATGCAGATCATTTGTAGATGCCGGCATTCCGATGTGGAAACTTGAAAATAAAAGCATACGAGCTTTTTTGCAAAAATATACGAATCAAAGTGTGCCCTGTGAATCAACTTTAAGGAAAACTTATTTAGATGACTGTTATACCGAAGTTCTTAAAACTATTCAAAATGAAATCGGAACGAAAAACATATGGCTATCTATAGATGAAACGACAGATGTAACTGGACGATATGTTGCGAATGTTATTGTTGGTGTTATGGACCCATTTGAAAAACATAAAATCTTTTTGTTGACATCTGAACAGTTGCAAAAGACTAACAGTACTACAATTGCACAGTTGTTCACTAATGCACTGGCTTTACTTTGGCCAAATGGTACTGAGCATGAAAGAGTGCTATTATTTCTTACAGATGCAGCCTCCTACATGAAAAAAGCTGGAAATGCCTTAAAAGTTTTATTTCCTAATATGATCCATCTAACGTGCCTTGCTCATGCATTGCACAGGATAGCAGAGGAAGTAAGAGGTCT